TAAAACCTTGACCGGTACCTAATAGTTAGTTTCAGCGTTTACTTGAGATTAACATCAATTCCACTCAAAAGTTAAATGAAATTTAAACCTTAAATGTATGTGGCATTAAACAGATAGTAAAAAGAGTCATAGTCTTGAAAACATAAACTAGTCAACTACGATTGCTAACACTAAGTCTGCCTTCTTAACAGACTGATAAACAAAATTTCATCCGTATTACACATGGTGCACTTTTTGGGGTGGGGTAATTGCTTGATTCTATTATACTTAATTTCCTTTATTTTCAAAATGTAAACATGCAGGGAATCTCTTCACTCTAAAGGAGTAGACATAAGGGACCATATGGAGATAATGAGAATTAACAATACGGATACCATTATACATTCTAGTTGGAGTTTAACATTACAGTTTGGCTATAATAGACTCTAATGAGAACTCAACTTTACGTCTGAATCACTATAGACGCTAATGTCAATTAACATTTGACCTAATCAAAGACAACAACCATACTGAAATTAGTTAACATTTTGTGGTCATTGATGCATTTTGTCAACATTAAGGTTACAATTTATGCTTATGCCGTAATGTTTATATGTGCTTTGACTCAGTGTTACTGAGAGAATGGAAATATGCAAAGAAAACCCAATAGACCATGCCTTTTTTTCAAAATCTGCATTTAAATGTGCCTACTTAGCTAATTCCTTTGCTTATAAATAAGGAAACTAAGAATTAGAATAGTCACTTTTCTTCCTATATGATGTGTTAGTTTTCATTCAGATAAATTAATGCATAAAACAATATGCAATGTACAGATTATGTAGTTGTGAGTATAGAGGGTTGACAACGTTGTTTAGTTTTATGACGGTTATTAAGGAAACTGCTTTCAAAACAAGTCAATAACTACGCGAGAGAGAGAGAGAGAGAGAGAGAGAGAGAGAGAGAGAGAGAGAGAGAGAGAGAGAGAGAGAGAGAGAGAGAGAGAGAGAGAGAGAGAGAGAGAGAATTTTCGCTGAGGAAGAAAAGATAGTATGGCCTACACTAATGAATTATGTCTTTGTAATCTAAATCAACTAAAATTGATTCAAACAGAATTTCTTCTCACAACGTCCAATTAGAGTCAGACGTTTTTGAAAAATAGACATCTATAATGCGTTTTCTAGGTAGAAGAATATCATTCTGAAGCTCGAACGACTTGCTTTTAGAAAAAGGGATTCATCTTTTTCATATAAACCATTGGATTCACGGGGCCGTGTACAAACTGTACATGAGGAGGTAGTTCTATGAACTAACATTATGTCTAAAGTTCTGGTACAAATATCTGGCCATCCCAAGCGACTTCTATTTCAGAGACGTCATAGTGAAGGAACCGGTAAGGCGTCTGCTCAATAATTTCGTTAAGACTGCATTAATGACAATACCAGTATACAAACGTACTTGTAACAAAACAGAGAACACACATATCGTCACGAGAACACATCGTCACGAGAACACATCGTGAATATTTGGTACAGGTGAAAGTCGTTCAAGAGACGAAGACAACGTAAAAATGAAAAATATTATATTTTTTGACATATAACGTTAATAATACACACACTCACACATTCACATTAACCCTAATTCTCGTGAAAATAAATTTTAAATAAAACAAAATACATATATATTGATTTAAATCTTTATGTTCAGCTCTATAAATTGTACAGTTCTATTGTTACACTACACTTGGAACTCACCAAAGTCAATATTTCCACTTGCATTCAAATATCATTCATCAGTTTAACTCCATGAATTTACACAAATATTATATTCTCTCTCTCTCTCTCTCTCTCTCTCTCTCTCTCTCTCTCTCTCTCTCTCTCTCTCTCTCTCTCTCTCTCTCTCTCTCTCTCTCTCTCTCTCTCTCTCTCATCGTTATTGTGTTTGGGGCTTTTTTTGTTTACTTATGATGTTTGCATGTTTCCTACATTGACTTATCTCATCTGATATTTTAAATTTTGAACAATTTTCATATATCTGAAATTGTTTTCATTAAACAATCCGTCGACCATCATTAAAAATATGTTTACTGGTAATTTGATTTCAGTTTTTAAAAATTTAAACGTTGTAAATATGCTACATTGAGAATCAATAGTTGTTTTTTTTTAAAAAAAAATAAATAAACTTGGCCATCACCCTAAATTGTTTTTATTTTAACTGCTACACCCCGACCACCTCCAAAAGTACATTTAATAAAATCACGCTGTAAAAGTGTCACTAAATGCACTAATTGTATCGGAACAGCCAGTCTAAATTGTTGCATGTATTGTTCTTTGATAACTCAGTCAGCATACAAAACTGTGTATCTCACCTATATATATATATATATATATATATATATATATATATATATATATATATATATATATATATATATATATATATATATATATATATATATATATATATATATATATAAATTCATGGCAGAAGTATAGAATATAGACACGTGTAAAAGAAAACGAAGTGGACACGTTTTATGTCAGATTTTGTTGTCTGGAGTATCAGAACAATCGTTGAAAAAAACTCAAATTCACGTAAATTTTTTCAAAATTTGTATTATACTGTGCCTTGACAAAATTACATTTGAGAAAGTAAGAAAAAATAAAAACGAATTCATATTTATGGGGAATATTGTGTGCATTTGTTTCATCAGATAAGTATTTGATGTCCTCTAGCCTTGTGATTGAATCGCTTTAGATGGCTAATTCTCTTGAAATGATGTTAAAGCAGAGTGGTGCTTTCGTGAAAATTATCATCTATTTTGTTAAGTTTGACAATGTACTTTAAAGTGCTGACATGTAGCGGCCTTAACGAGGTGCGCCGGGCCAGCAAGCGGGGGGGGGGCTTCGAAAATTTGGAGTTTGTATAAAACAGATTATAGTTAAAGCATATTATTGAAAAATAAATTTTATTTTCAAAACCTTTTTTTCCATGAACATTTTACAGAATTTCTTCAGTGATATATAAATTAGATTTTGGAGACCAATTTTCCTCATTTCGCACCGGAGCCAAACAGTTCTAAAGGCGCTGAAAATGTTGATAAGACGAACCCTGTAAATATGATCATTATTAAATGGTTGCATTTTCTTATATATTGTACTTTGCTTCCTCAATTCCTATTTTCTTAGTGAAAACGTATACATTGTACACGAGGAGAAGATAGGTCCTTCCCTAAATCTCCTTCAGTATGTAGGAGTAAATGAACAAGAAGTCATCACATTAAAGTATTGATTTTAGAAAACAAAACAAGGTTTTTTTTTATTGTTTTAGAAGTGGGAATGGTTCTGTGGACGGCTCTCTCTCTCTCTCTCTCTCTCTCTCTCTCTCTCTCTCTCTCTCTCTCTCTCTCTCTCTCTCTCTCTCTCTCTCTCTCTCTCCATATGTGTACGTGTGTGTAAGAATAACTCTTAGTCACGCAACACACAAAGGTTACAATACGTTTATAAATTGTCACCTTGTTTTTAAGAATATTAATACTGAGCAGACGATAAAATAGTTTCGGTGAGAATTTTTCTATAATTATATCATAATTCCTACAGTCTATATTGACACAAATGTAGTTGTTAATTCCCATTGGAGTCTATCAAGATGTTAATTCCGATAACCAATTATTGTCACATATAACTACTGCCACGGCTCTATAATGCCTATAGAATCGTATCTATTACAGTGCGAAGGATTTGGTAACGATAACCTATGTTGTATGTAACCGATAATTTCTGTAGCAAATATATATTTCTAAACTAAATAGTTTTCTTCACTATAGTCAGCATATTGCCTTGCTAAGGCGAGAGCAAATTATTTGGTCGTCTTTGGATAGTGAAATCATTAATAACTCCCCATGTAAATAGCTAAAGTCAAATATTTATGTGCACTTTGATATATTCCAGTAACGACTAATCATGATCGTATCTGGGAATTTCACACGTTATTCTGCACTTGTGGCGAGGCACGCTCGTTTTTATGTGTCGGACTCATTAGTTGACACTAGCGTTAGGCATATGTCAAGCGCATGTCATTCCGTTATACCAAACAACGAAACGTGCTTTCTTTATTCTACTATTGCCCAGTGTTTAGAGCATAAAATTGGTAGTCGTCTTCAATTTCACACAGGGCTTTACTTGTTACGATATCTCAGTCTTTAACCGTGTTATGTTCGAGACTTTTGACAATATTTCAAAACACCGGATATATATATATATATATATATATATATATATATATATATATATATATATATATATATATATATATACATTAATGAGACATTTTACGTTTCACTGACCACATAACTGAAATAGCTTTTCGCAGTCCCTAAACTCTTAGAAACTTGGACACACACACACACACACACACACACACACACACACATATATATATATATATATATATATATATATATATATATATATATATATATATATATATATATATATATTGGATGAAAATAATTATATGTACAGTATTTTTAATACCATAGTCCATGTTGGACAAATATCCGCTATATAAAAATAATTATATATGGGTGGAACATTGAAACTCACCGAAGACAAATTTGGTCAGTTGTCCTATACATAAGCATCTTCTGTAAAACGATGAAGAGTACAAGCAGAATGTGTGTGTGTGTGTGTGTGTGTGTGTGTGTGTGTGTGAGAGAGAGAGAGAGAGAGAGAGAGAGAGAGAGAGAGAGAGAGAGAGAGAGAGAGAGAGAGAGAGAGAGAGAGAGAGAGAGAGAGATTTGGATTTTTAACGTGGTTTAAAAAAAATTCAGTCATATTTCTAAGATGTATGCACTGTTACAGTTTATTGTAATGTCTAGCACTGGGGCATAATGCCGCAGACATGTAGCATGATGTCCCACCCAGTAAAATTATGCTGATATCAGGCCGACCAGTCCTAACACTAACTTCTTAATGATAGCGCCGAGCGCTTCAGCTGTCATTACCAATTTAATGATTTTTGGTATGACTCGGCAGGGGTTCGAACCCGCGACCTCTTGCATCCGAGGCGGACGCTCGAACCACTAGGCCACGAGAACGGAATGTAGACGCGTTAGTAAACCCTGTAGGCAAATCCCATAATATACCTAATCAGAAAACCTTTAAAAATATAAACCCTAACCCCTTAAACCTATCAACATCTGAAATAGCGATACAAATTTCCATTGCAAGCTGTACCAAAAGATGGGAAGCAGTGTTCACTGATTGCATTCTGGACCACTGATAAATTTAATTCAACCTCTCATCCGTAATTGCTACATTAATCAAAATGGAAATTCGACAAATCACTAAATGCATTTTAAATATACTAGAAAAGTCGAACGAAGTATTTTACAATTAAAGAAATGATCGAACCAGTAAGATTATGAAAACAATCAGCGAGGAGAACAGAAAAAAATAGTATCATTAAATTGTGTACATATCGTGGATAATGGCACAAAGAAACATTTGATTGGCCTTAACAGTTTTGAGAGATAATACTGATATTTCACGACTTAAACATGAAAGGAACAATGTCGGTATCTATAAAAAGCCTATTTGCTGACAAGCTTGGATGCTATAAACTTGGATGCTATACTCTTGTGATCGAAGCTAATTGCATTCAGGGCACAAAAGTTTTCATGTGCTAATTTAAATCAAAACGCATATACCACAATGTTAGAATTTTCACAGATTACATTTAATGATGCCATCAGCAATGGCAGCAAGCTCGTTGAAACTGCGAGAAAAGAAGAATGAATTAATTTTATTTATTTTGGTGCAGGTAAATGCATCATTGTACTAGACCATTTTTAAATTCAACCTTTCAAAGAGAAAACATATGGAAAACAAAGACTAAACACAACAAAAGTGCGACATGAGGCTCTGACGAAAAATAGACAAAATAACTGAGAAAGTATGGACATTTTTGATTCCGTTTCCTACTTGCATTAAGCCAACAAAAGTGTTCCATAGTTAGCTGAAATTATTTGCGTATTTTATGCTTTTGTTCACATTAAACAAATTTCTTTCTTTCAATCCACCAATAAAAATGGGCAAAATAAAATGTCATAGATCATGATATGCAATTCTTTCTGGCAAACTTTAAACTTCAAGATTACGAAATAAATAATCAATAGACTTGACCTGGTAACTTTAAAGACGGTATTTTCAGATTAAACTATCGTATAACGATAGGATTATTCGTCTGAAGATAACCTAACAGCTGAATGAACTTTATCTACAAAACAGAAACGGTACTGCCTATAATGATATTTCAAGGTTAAGAATTATATCCAGATTACATCAAAGCTGCGTCTTGAACGACCAAATTGGAAACAAAAAGTCTATTACACCATTAATTTCCACTGCTCAAAACACTGCGAAATACAAAACGGAGATATTGATTTAAGGTCAGCAATGTTACAACTCTAATGACACCACTGTGGCCAGATTTCATAATCCAATTCTGGTTCAGAAGACAAATTCACTATGCTGTTGGTGGCAAAGCGTTTTACTACTACTAAGTGTTATTTTTACTTTCTACTACCATGTGTCATGGTTACTTTTCAGTACTAAGTGTCATAGTTACTTTATACTACTCATTGTCATTTTTCTTTCTACTACTAAATGTCATTTTTACTTTCTTCAACCAAGTGTCATGGTTACTTTTCAGTACTAGGTCCCATGGTTCCTTCATACTACTAAGTGTCTAAAGCGCTCTCCGTTACGGATCACTGCCATCTCACCTCTGTCTGCGTGGGTTCGAGTCTAGGATTCGGCGAATGTGGATATGTGAGAAAGCTTGCCAGTAGCTTCTCGTGGGTCGGTGGTTCTTTCCGGTGATTTCCCGGTTTCTTCCTCCACCATTAATACTCGCCGCCATGAATAGCCTATCATGTGCTGAAAAAATGGCGTTAAGCCCATCAACAACAACAACTACTAAGTGTAATGCCCCAGTGCTACTTACTAAGTGTCATGGTTACTTTCTAGTAACAAGTGTAATGATTACTTTCAACTACCAAGTGTCATGGTTACTCTCTACTACTATGTGTCATGGTTACATTCTACTACTAAGTGTTATTTTTACTTTCTACTACCATGTGTCTTGGTTACTTTTCAGTACTAAGTGTCATGGTTGCTTTCTACTATAAGTGTCATTTTTCTTTCTACTACAACCCGCTCCAGTGGCCCAGTGGTTAGAGCGTCTGCCTCGGATGAGGAAAGTCATGGGATCAAACCTCTGCCGAGTCATACAAAAGACTTTAAAAAATGGTATTAACAGCTGTCTCGCTTGGCGCTCATCATTAAGATGTTTGAATTAGGACTGGTTAGCATGGTGTTAGGATAATGTGACTGGGTTGGACATAATGCTACATGTCTGCGGCATGATGCCCCAGTGCTAGACATCACTACAAACTGTCACACTGCAGACATCGTAGCGATATGACTGAAAAATTGTTAAAGATACGTTAAAAATATAAATCACACACACTCTTTCTACTACTATCATTTTTACTTTCTACTACTAAGAGTCATTGTTACTTTCTGCTATAAGTGTCATGATTATTTTCTACTAGAAAGTGTCATGATTACTTTCTACAATAAAATGTCAATGTTACTTTCTACTAATAAGTGTCAATGTTACTTTCTACTAATAAGTGTCAATGTTACTTTCTACTTCTAAGTGTCATTGTTACTTTCTACTAATAAGTGTCATGACTACTTTCTACTAATAAGTGTCATGATTACTTTCTACAAATAAGTGTCATGGTTACTTTCTACTAATAAGTGTCATTGTTACTTTCTACTAATAAGTGTCATTTTTACTTTCTACTAATAAGTGTCATGATTACTTTCTACTAATAAGTGTCATGATTACTTTCTACAAATAAGTGTCATGATTACTTTCTATTAATAAGTTTCATTGTTACTTTCTACAAATAAGTGTCATTGTTACTTTCTACTAATAAGTGTCATGATTACTTTCTACTAATAAGTGTCAATGTTACTTTCTACTTCTAAGTGTCATGATTACTTTCTACTAATAAGTGTCATGATTACTTTCTACTAATAAGTTTCATTGTTACTTTCTACTAATAAGTGTCATAATTACTTTCTAGTAATAAGTGTCATGATTACTTTCTACTAATAAGTGTCTTCGTTACTTTCTACTAATAAGTGTCAATGTTACTTTCTACTAATAAGTGTAAATGTTACTTTCTACTAATAAATGTCATTGTTACTTTCTACTAATAAGTGTCATTGTTACTTTCTACTAATAAGTGTCAATGTTACTTTCTACTTCTAAGTGTGATGATTACTTTCTACTAATAAGTGTCATGATTACTTTCTACTAATAAGTGTCATGGTTACTTTCAACTAATAAGTGTCAATATTACTTTCTACTAATAAGTGTCAGTGTTACTTTCTACTTCTAAGTGTCGTGATTACTTTCTACTAATAAGTGTCATGATTACTTTCTACTAATAAGTGTCATTGTTACTTTCTACTAATAAGTGTCAATGTTACTTTCTACTAATAAGTGTAAATGTTACTTTCTACTAATAAATGTCATTGTTACTTTCTACTAATAAGTGTCATTGTTACTTTCTACTAATAAGTGTCAATGCTACTTTCTAGTTCTAAGTGTGATGATTACTTTCTACTAATAAGTGTCATGATTACTTTCTACTAATAAGTGTCATGGTTACTTTCAACTAATAAGTGTCAATATTACTTTCTTCTAATAAGTGTCAATGTTACTTTCTACTTCTAAGTGTCGTGATTACTTTCTACTAATAAGTGTCATGATTACTTTCTACTAATAAGTGTCATTGTTACTTTCTACTAATAAGTGTCAATGTTACTTTCTACTAATAAGTGTCAATGTTACTTTCTACTTCTAAGTGTCATGATTACTTTCTACTAATAAGTGTCAATGTTACTTTCTACTTCTAATTGTCATGATTACTTTCTGCTAATAAGTGTCATGATTACTATCTACTAATAAGTGTCAATGTTACTTTCTACAACTAAGTGTCATGATTACTTTCTACTAATAAGTGTCATGATTACTTTCCACTAATAAGTGTCTTTGTTACTTTCTACTAATAAGTGTCAATGTTACTTTCTACTAATAAGTGTCAATGTTACTTTCTACTAATAAGTGTCAATGTTACTTTCTGCTAATAAGTGTCAATGTTACTTTCTACTAATAAGTGTCATTTTTACTTTCTGCTAATAAGTGTCATTGTTACTTTCTACTAATAAGTGTCGTGATTACTTTTTACTAATAAATGTCAATGTTACTTTCTACTTCTAAGTGTCATAATTACTTTCTACTAATAAGTGTCATGATTACTTTCTACTAATAAGTGTCATTGTTACTTTCTACTAATAAGTGTCAATGTTACTTTCTACTAATAAGTGTCATGATTACTTTCTACTAATAAGTGTCAATGTTACTTTCTATTAATAAGTGTCAATGTTACTTTCTACTTCTAAGTGTTATGATTACTTTCTACTAATAAGTGTCAATGTTACTTTCTACTAATAAGTGTCAATGTTACTTTCTACTTCTAATTGTCATGATTACTTTCTACTAATAAGTGTCATGATTACTTTCTACTAATAAGTGTCATTGTTACTTTCTACTAATAAGTATCAATGTTACTTTCTACTAATAAGTGTAAATGTTACTTTCTACTAATAAATGTCATTGTTACTTTCTACTAATAAGTGTCATTGTTACTTTCTACTAATAAGTGTCAATGTTACTTTCTACTTCTAAGTGTGATGATTACTTTCTACTAATAAGTGTCATGATTACTTTCTACTAATAAGTGTCATGGTTACTTTCTACTTCTAATTGTCATGATTACTTTCTACTAATAAGTGTCAATGTTACTTTCTACTTCTAATTGTCATGATTACTTTCTGCTAATAAGTGTCATGATTTCTATCTACTAATAAGTGTCAATGTTACTTTCTACTTCTAAGTGTCATAATTACTTTCTACTAATAAGTGTCATGATTACTTTCTACTAATAAGTGTCT